GACTGGTTAAGACCTGGATCATAGAATTCAGAAAACTGGAAAAGCAAATTTTAAGAAACCGAATGAATAAACGGTCAGAAAAGCAATATTTAATTTCAAAATTAATCAGCAAATGTGTGATACCAAATAATCCAACCACCGACGAACATAATTACGTCCTTTCTCAACAAGTAATAAACCAGCACTGGCGTTTGCTTTGACCAGTTCACCCACCTATAATACACTAATTTAACAGCCCAGCAAAGACAGAAGCAAAATGACGATGCCATCCAAGTAAATTGAGATGGGTCCTTATAGCTGCCTCATAGCAAATCCGCGTAAAATCCTCTACAGAAAAAATAAAATAAAATCTAAAAACTGAAAAGGCTCTTAACCATTTAAACCACTGCTACAAGACAATCCCCAAATTAAATATAACAGTGCACCTCATACTGTATAGCATCATCCAACCTACGACTAGGATTAAAAGAGCGAAGTGTACAAGCGCCATTATTATCCATTCTGTAATTCAAAGCCACTACACGACTTTCATAAGTGGCAGACTGATTCTTGATGCAGACATTCGTGTTATTTATTATGTTGCCCCACCATCCAAGGTGCAGGTTTTCCTTAAAAAGTATTTTTTAGGAAGAAACCAAGGTAAGAGCTATAGAGAATATTAAACTGCTAGATTGTCATATTCCAGTACAGTAAAGTTCAATCTTCTTAAAAAAAAACATTACTTACCTATTCAATTAACACTTCCTTTACAAAGTTATTCATCAAAAAAACCCATATTAATCTAGAACCAATGTTTTTTTTGTAAACATCCGAGAAACCCACCACAATTATAATGTATAATGAATAAAGGAAAAATTACAGCTTCTGAAAGCGTTGGTGCAATGCTAGATGTTCTCCATTGTTGATAGTTAACACAGAATCGTTGGTACCTTTGGGTATTTTCATTATACACTACCAGAAATGCATAACTAGAGTCATAATTGCTTTCTTTCCCATGAACCTATAAATATATCTCATCGATTAAATCATTCTTAGCGCCATTAAAGAAAAATTAATGAAACCATACGAAACTAGACCACGCCGGTAGTTGTAAAAATGTGAGTAAAACACTAACGGAAAAAAAGTCGTCTAGACTGTCCTTAACCATATGAGAACAAAACATCTAATGCTTCTACCTATACTATAAAAAGAGAGTAAAAGCACTGAGAATACTTGCATCAAAAATCAATATATTTATTATTAGACCACTAGTGAAGAAGTAAACAGAAGGAAAAAGATGATGAGAAATAATAAGTGATACCTGAACAAAAAATCCGTATATAAGCACACATAAGGGTATAAAGTTGAAAACTTTATAACCCCGGTAGAAAGACATCAGCATCAACTGTATGGTGGCTCGGCTGAAGCAACCCGAGAGACAGGTTGCTTGACCGATACGGACAGCAGTTTTGTAACGCTATAAGCCACTTCGAACAGATGCCGTCTTCCTAAAAAAAAGCAACAACAACAACAACCGCAATCAAAAACTCCCAATTTTTCCACAGACATTATAATCTTCCAGAACCATAAATACATTTTAGGTAGATAAGAACCTATGAAAAAAAAAAATAAAAAAAAGTGAATTTTTGTTTCCTAAATACGATAAACGACATATAAAACAGCATTGGGAAGATAAACATAACGCTTTCGTAGTCAAATGTAAACAAATTTATTACCCAAAACTTATAAGCGCTCATAGCTTTTTGGTAACCATCTTTACCTAGTTCTACCATTCGTTCTTATAATTATCAACCAACTTTACTAACTAGAGTGACAAAAACAACAGTACTCGTAACAAGTAACATACAATAAACCTTTCCTTTTGAAAACATCACTTTTCAGAACGTAAGTCCTAGTTTCTCTACAACTATTCTCCTTCACACGGATGTCAAAAATTATACATAAACAAAATTTTCAGCGGAAAAATCCCAATAACATGGCTAATTAGAACATCTTTTTAGACCAGAATTCCGGTAGGATCCCTCAACAACAAGAATTTTCAATTAATTTCTTCCTATATAACTGTTCTTTTTTCGTCTTCAATTCTCACTGATCGCCTAAATTTTCATAACTGTAACAATATTGAGAGAAAAATGTCGTTTTTAAGAATAAAAAAACTATTGGAAAAAATGGAAAAGAAATCCGAACAAAAAAAAAAA